ACCCTTTACAAAGTATCGGACTCAATGCATTTTATATGAGCAGATATTGGTGAAACGCCCTCAAGTGGTGAACCCGTACAGGCTTCATCCCAATATGGCGTCATCCTATGCAGGTCAGTGTTTTTTTTCATATGCAGATTGATCTGAATATATTTGCTATACAACCTTGCCATCCATTGCTGTATCTGATCAGTCTGTTGCTGACGGAGTTTAGAGAACACTCGGATGTAATTTTGAAGAATGGATGTTTCATATTTTTCCAGTTATTTACATTTGTTAATGGATGTTTTCACGAGGCTTGTATTCCACTTTACAGCGTACTGCTGTCCCTGACAACCCACATTGTAATCGATTTATTTAGACATTTCTATACGTTGTTGTCGGTTATCGTCTGGCGCATTGATACCACGTAGCTAAAATACACTGGGATGCATGTTCGATATGGGACTCATAGTGACGTATACAACGCGTGTAAAATACATTGTTTATTTACATGAAATTCGAACACGCGCTGCGCGACGACCACCGCGCTTTAAGTGAGAATTCTTTATCAATGTATTTTCCGTATTTTTACTTTTGATCCCAATATGACGTCATCTTGTGCAGAAATTGCCATTGGCGATGTCACAAGTGAATATTCATAACCTCTAGAACACTTGAAGCCCTGTCTCCGTTATTTATGTCTTTTATCAAGTGGTCGTTGTAATCTACACAAAATCACACAACGCAGTCACGTTCGGAAATTTGCGTCACATAATGATACTGATATATCACAGACGTTTCAACAGATCGTTAAGTAATAGCAAGATAAATAGAAACACGTGTTTACCTGTGTAGCCATTTTGACATGTACATCTATATCGGTTCACGTGATCGACGCATGTACCATCATTGTAGCATGGACTACTAGCACATTCGTTAATATCAGTATGACATCTCGAACCTAGAAAACGATATAATGATACTTAAACATTACAGACATTATTTCAAAGTTCATTATGTAATAACGAGAAATATAGAAACACGTGTTTACCTGTGTAGCCATTTTGACATGTACACGCATATCTGTCCACGTGATCGACGCATGTACCGCCATTGTAGCAAGGATTGCTGGCACATTCGTTAATATTGGTCTGACATCTCGATCCTAGAAAACGAAATAATGATATTGATATCAGTCAAATCATATACATGTATATGAACAATTTCTTTGTTTAATGCAGTTTGACTGACAACTTATCTGTACTTTAGAAATTTCTATTCCACGCTTTTAAACATGCAGAAAATATTAATCAGTTGTAACTCGTAGATTCAATGATTATTTAAATATCATATCATATCATATCATATCATATCATATCATACATTGTTTCAACTGATAATTATGTAATAGCAACAAAAGTAGAGCACGTGTTTACCTGCGTAGCCATTTTGACATATACATCTATATCGGTTCACGTGATCGATGCATGTACCACCATTGTAGCACGGGCTGCTAGAACACTCGTTAATATTAATATGGCATCGGGATCCTAAAAATTGAAAAAAAACAAACAAAAAAATTGAAATATATTCATGGAAATAAACACTGTAATATTTATCGTTGTTGTCACGACGTTGTGAATAAAGTTAACGGTAAGTTATTTTATGAAATTACCTGTGAATCCGTCTACGCATTGACATGTATAACCGTTCACTATTCCTGTACATGTACCGCCATTGTCACACGGATTACTGGCACAGATTGACTGATGACAACTACTTCCATGCCAGCCCGCTTTGCAAACTTTAGCACCAGTGTCCGGGTCACAGTTGTACGTGACCTCCGCTTTGCAGTATACACCGCACGTAGATGTGAAATAATATTCATCGCAGTAAACTTTGATCTGAAACTTTATCCTGAAAAAAACCTCCCATAATGATTTTAAAGCGGGAGGGTCGTCACCTGCGCACGCGCGGGAATCCCAAGCGAGGATAACAACACACGCTAACAACGCAAATGCTCATGGGTAGACGTTTGTTTGTAAACAATGATGCGCTATGGCCATCTGACGCATGCGCAGGTGACGACTTCACAGCTTTAAAATATTCAAGAAACACGCCGACCCGAACAAATGTCATAGCGGAAAACGCTGTTCCTGTAAACAGGCTTTAAACGTTTAGCCGCGTCATGTTATACACCAGAAACCTAACATAGCTTGAAGCAGGGAATCGTCACATATTATATGCAAGCAGCAGACGACCATAGTGTGTGGTTGTTAACAAACAAGCGTCTACCCATGAGCCTTCGCGTTCTTAGCGTGCGTTGTTATCGTTGCTTATGACTTAATCCCCGCGTGGGCGCAGGCGACGATTCACCGCTTTAAAACAACATATGGCATATGAAAAGATTTCCGTCCTAACATTCATGTCATGCACTACTATGAGTTAAATGGTCAAACAAACTCAACAGGATGACAATATGACATATGTCATATCATATGTCATATATCATATATAACATATGACATATGTCATGGGACTCAATTACCGCGCGTGCGCGGGTGACGCCTTCCGCTTTAAACTAAACCCATGATAGTGTGACAGGCTTACTCTGCATTTTTCACACCAGTAGCTGTGTACGTTGAACTCCAATGCGCGTCAGCGGAAGTGTCTGCAGCGGAACGTGTCACGGTGTATCTATGCTTGTCCACTAAGTCATGGAAGTTAATGTCTAAGTCCCAGGACTCCGCCTTGAATGTTATTCCATCCTGTAAAATAGTCACGAGGTTATTCACGGCAAATACCGGAAATGACGTGTGATGTTGGGCGGAGAGATTATCATATTTGTTTCAAGCTCATTGGGCGAGAAAAATATTAATATTGCTCCATGCAGAATCACTTGCTATTTCCGGTATTGGCTCGGAATGACCTCTTTATCATATGTTAAATGCATCAATGTAAAAATCGTGGAACTTGTCACGTGATTGTAATTTTAAAAGTTCAAACAATTTTTCATATCACCATTAGTAAATGGAATCGCCCGAATCAATCAATTAACCAACCACTCAATCAATATTACGTACGTACATTGTAATTGGATATCTGTATTCGTATAGGATTAGCTATGCCACTTGGAATTGTGGTAGGAAAGTTGAATGCATTGTCATCGCTATATATTTTGGCAGTATCGTGCCTGTAAACGCATGAGCTACCAAGTGAATAATCTCCAGAGGATCTGAAAACAGAAAATATAATATGTAGAATTAGCAAAATAACATCCAGTTTACGATAAGCAGTATATCTAAATTCTATTTTGAAAATGGAAACACTGTTTCAACAATAGTTTTAATAATTTCAATCAAGGGATTCCGATTGATTATGAATTACTATTTTTTGGAACTTGTGTAATAATCTGATATGAACATATAACACATAATTAACTTAATTAACACAATAAGTTAATTATGTATATATAGTACAATGTGGATGCCATACTACAACAGTTTTTTTCCTGAACTCCCGTAGACGACAATGCAACTTGAAACCCAAGGTTATTTCACATATAGAAACAATGATTCAAGTAAATGAAATAGTAAACAGCATCATTAGATATAACGAACGTCCCATAAATAATGTCGAGGCAATTATTCTTGTATTGCTATATGAGCGTCGTTGCCCAGTTGACTGTTCACTCTTAAATGTATCAGTCAGTTTGGTCACCCCAAAATTTCAGTCACAAAACCAAGGCTCATTCTGGTACTGCATTGATCCGGGCAAACGCCCACCCCCACTTTTGATACAATAAACAAATTGAGGTCTATCCTCGGGGGCGGACATCCGGGCGTTTTTCACCGCTTGGCAACCCTGGCGGTGAAAACAAAGGCCAACAACTCGTAGAAAACGGTACTTTGGGATGGTTGTTGAGACCCCCCTGAACAGTGTAACAAGATTAGCCCTATGTGTGTAACATATGTAAATTTAGTTGTTCAGGATTACTTCAAAGTTGAGTTTGTGTTGTTTTCTCGAATTTTCACCGGCTCGACCGGCGTTCCATAGCAGCGCACACAGAGCCCACAGAAATACATGTACAGTGGTGCGCGTCTTAGCAACGTGGAACGTCTGTGACGTAGGTCCGCCCCGAGGGCAAATAGTCATACAGTTCCTTGAAGTTGCTTTCAAAAAAGGGACGACTAAATTTCAACCTACGTGACCCCGCGCCTCAATACACATTTTAATTATAGTATGAAGCGTACAAGTCTGTGTAAAATAAGGGTCAGTATTGGAGATGACTATTCTAGGAAGATTAAGTAAATTAATTTAAATTAAATTAAGAAATATAATTATGGTGAACTGAATAAGTCCTGCTAGACCCATGATAGGAACAAGTGCTGAAACCAAGCGGCATGAGGTAAGGCGTGGTACAATCAAGACGTTGAGAATGAAGATGCTTATATAACTATATTTAAACAATAATATCACGATATAGACATCCAGGAGTGGCAGTCGGGCACGGAAAGTTAGACGCGTATCGTGTATTTAAATTTTTCGTTCATTACTAGATCCCGCGTTATGCGTGAACCCGAACAAAAAAAAAAACAGGGCAAAGAAAGGCCACAGCGTTGCAGTCACAGTCAGCTGGCGCGCAAGTGAAATGAATGGGATATTTACTATATGGGGGCCGCCATCTTGAATACGGCATGAAACTAAATAAAGAAACAAGTTGTGAAACGCTACAAATCCATACAATTCCTACAAATCAGGTAAAAATACCAATCTTTCACAACCAAACGATCTGTTGGGGGTAATATTAATCCAACCGCTAACACAATTCGATCGAATTCGTCGTTTTTGAGTGGATAAAATACCTTATTACACGAAGAACAGGAACATTTTCCTGGGGTACTTGAAACCAAAAATTGCCATTCAAACTCAGCAGCCAATCAGAAACGGCCTTAGAGTTCGATGGCAATTTCGGTTTCAAATACTCCTAGAAAGTTTCATTATCACTTGTGCGCCAACTGACTGTGGTTGCAGTGGCGTCAACACATCGCTTGGGATTCGACAAACGCGAAATATATTTTTGGAGACATTCTTCATGCTCTATACATTTGAGCATGATAAAATTTTCAGAAGTAAGTGTATTTAAAGGCAATATCCCCCCATGACAAATTTTGAAAAAAAATTGAAGTTCACATTTAAATGATATTTGAAGCAGAAGTTCGCTCCGCGCTTTTCACGCATTATGCGAGATCTCGCAGTGAGCGCAAAATCACCCATTGGTTTTCTGTTCATATATATCTGTTCATTGGTGAACTATTATTGTACTAAAGGCAAGACTACACACAGTTTGGCACTTACGTAGCATCTTTCTTCTCAACACAAAGTTTGAGATATATATCACAAGCATTACAGAATATATCGCAACAATCACCATTGTATTTTCTTCCATTATTGGTTTCAAACCTCACCAGCTTAAGTTCCACTGTAGCACCGCCCAGTGCACAGTTAATTATCTAAGAAAAAAATAGGACAACCGCTTTTCAAACAGTTTACCACAAACCTGTAGACAATTTCATCTTCAAGTTGACATAGAATTATATGTCATAATTTTGAACGGTACTGACATGAACAAGCTAATTTTACTATTACATTGAAATAACTTGTATATATCGTTGGCGTTGAAGAGAGAATGTATTACCTTGAGCTAGATTGCCGTACGACACGACTGACCTGTACTCAATTTACATAAGCAGCTTACAAAATATTTCACTCTCTTTCTCACGGTCTTGTGATTATGTAACATTTATAACAGTTTTCCTAAGCGAGATTAGAAATTTAGAATATCTTTCACATATTCTCTACACCTACCTGAGAAAGAAGAAACGCTTGAAATACCATCGAGTGTAAACCCATCTCTGAAAACTGTTCCAGCAGTCGGTATAGCGATTTAGGTTGAAGATCTTTTACTGTTTCCCTTTAACTTCTGAAAATTATTGTACTATTTAGTGTAAAAATAACATCAGATCCAGGACCACATTTAGTTCTACTTTAATTAACAACTTTAAAAGTGGTGAAAAACAAAACAAATTAACGATATAATCAATTGTTTTTATTTTCGTAATAATGTAATTTAAATAAATAAAAAAAACGTAAAATCGAAGACAGGGACAAGGTGTAAAAGGTAATCCGTAACTTGATTTGTACAAAGATTTTGAAGCGTAAAGCATTTTCCAAAATAAATGTCGTAATTCGTACCCAATTTCCAATTTTGATTCTCAAACACAAATAATCAAATATAATATAAAATTGTAAAATGCAATTAGAACTTTGCTTTATCTATAAAGTGTAAAACATTTTTTTTTACTGTAAATGCGAGTTTTATTTCCTGTAAAAACGTAAAATGCCTTTTTATTTCCAGTAACTTGTACTCGGCATCCCTTTGCTCCCTTTAATGAAATAAGTCCAATAATGAACCTGTATCATGTATCACATATGTAGGCCAACGTCTCTACACTCAGAGCTAATCTATGTAAACAAATGAGGTTATAACACTTGACAACTAAACTTTCAAAGTAGTGTCTGGATAACTTGACATCACCAAATTAACATATTGTTATCTGCGAATTGACATCGAGAAAAGTCAACAGAAATATGCAGTCACCGTATACAATCACAAAAGCAAAAACAAATTACAAGGACTGTAAGGTGGCCCATATATACAATCGGTGAAGAATGACGCATTGCGACGATCAATAACGCACTGCGGCGATCAATGACTCATTGCGACGATCAATAACGCTTCCGACGATCAGTAACGCATTGCAGCGATCAATAACACATTGTGACGATCAATAACCAATTTTAGCGATCAATAGCACATTGCGGCGATCAATAACG